CACAGACTAAACCACCACAGACCATGGAATAAACCACCACAGAGCACAGACAAAAGCACCACAGACTAAACCATCATGAACCATAGACTAAACCACCTTAGACCATGGAATAAACCACCACAGGCCACAGACTAAACCATCATGAACCACAGACTAAACCACCACAGACCATGGAATAAACCACCACAGAGGACAGAATAAAGCACCACAGGCCACAGACTAAACCACCATGAACCACAGACTAAAGCACCACAGACCACAGAGAAAACCACCACCAACAACGGAGTAAACACAGACCACAGACTAAACCACCATGAACCACAGACTAAACCACTACAGATCACCAAGGAAATTTCTGTGAGCCCTGAGGAAGACCACTGGCAGACAGGGCCCCACTGGGACAGCTCTGTCCACACAGGCAGCCCCATCAGGGAAGCAGACGAGCCGTCCTGCATGTCCTGGCCAGGCAACCTGGGGAGCAGGGAGGTGGGGTCCCTTTAAGGTCTTCCTTTTGACGAATGGCTCCAAACAGCCCTGACTACCGCTGCTCCTGACCACCGTCTGCTCCCTGCTACTGCGTGGGGTGTACTTTGCTGCCAATGACGGCACTTGGAGCACCCCGTTTCCCTCTCCATTGGTCACGGAGACCGCTTTGGCTCTGCTTCTCTCCCCGGGGGACACCTGGAGGCCCCTGACCGGTCATCTCCCCAGATCTCGGCGTGGGCACATATGTAATTACGCCCCCGTGCACGCTGCAGATGGAGGCTGGAGAGGCAGGGGGGGACCCAGGCCCCCCGGGGCAAAGAGAGAGCATCTGTGTTCGCGACAAGTCAGAGGCCCTGAAGGTGACTGGGGGTGGAATGTGGCACAGAAATAAAGCCGACACGTGGAAGGCCACTGCCACACGTGGAAGGCCACTGCCACACGTGGAAGGACCCCACCATGCCCACGTCCCACAAGGAGCACGTCTGCTGAGGAGACGCACCGTAACCTGTAAGAGCAGGACACCCGCCCCGGGGCCTGAGGTCAGGACACAGACTCGGCAAGGGCCCCCCGCAGCTGCCTGCCCCAAAGACCGGCAGGCCCCCAGGGCAAGTCAGGCCTGGCATTTGGGGTGCGCCCGGGGCCAAGCTTGTGGGAGACGTCGGACGCGGGCCAGGGCCCTGGCAGGACTGCCTCCCACCCTACAGCACGCACCACAGCTCAGGTCCACGCCTTCCCTCCCTGGAGCGGATGAGCCACACCTGGGCCAGTCCTGCCTACACTCGGGTGGATGACACAGCACTGTGGTTGGTCACCAAAGGGGGCCCAGCGCCCACGGGTCCAGCCTCCCTACAGCTGTGGGTCTCACGCTCTGGGTTTGGCAGACTAAGGGGATGGGGAGGCAGAGCAGAGCCTTCAGGACACAGGCCACGGCCAAGGCCACGTGGTCCTCACCATGGCGGGGACCAGAGGGGATACCCAAGGGCAGATGTGGGCGATGCTCCTGGGAAGATAATGCTGCCACGTGTGGCCCCCTGGGCATCTGGGAAGGCGGTGTCCGGTGCCTCAGGGCGGTGCCTGTCCTTGGGGGTGAGCGCTATAGGGTTGTGGGGGAACACTGTCGTTTCCTGAGCCCTGATCTCATCCCTCCCCGTGTCACAGATGTGGAGAAGACGCTCTGGACCCCTCGAGGAGGGCCTCACATGGACACAGCAGCGAGCATCCTAGTGTCCCCATAGGACCAGGGCCTGGCGTCACTCAGGACCCGGCCGATGCTTCCTGGGAGGGAGGGGGTGCCACATGGCATGTCCCTGCAGAGACCAGAGGGGGCTGGGCTTTGGGGGTACTGCTGGGTCGGGTCCTCTTCGGGATTCGAAGGCTACACACACCCACTCCCAGAGAGCACAGCCACCAGCCTCATGGTCAAGGCACGTGGAACAGGGGCCCGCCCTGCTGGACCAGGAGGCCTGAACACCACTCAGCTTGCCCCCAGACGGCCCTTCCTCTGCGTGATGCACCCCACGTCCTGGGCTCCAGAGAGCCCCCCGCACCCATGCCCAGCTTCTCATGCTGGCAGACTGGTGAGGCCTCTGTGCCCCAGGATGGCCAGCTGGCAGGCACGTGGGCTCCCCAACAAAGCCACAACTGGAGCCCCAGGGGAGCACCCATCCGGGGACAAGGGCTCACCCCCACCACGCAGCCCCAAGGCCCGCGTGTCCTGCTGGGTTTGCCCTATGAGGTGGCCACTTCTGGGGGTGAGGTGTGGCTGGGGGCAAGGCTCACGGCTCCCCCTAAATAAGTACTCACAGGCCTCCGCGGCTGGCTAGGACATGGTGGGAACTTCTGCAGGACCCGGGCCTGGCTCAGAAAAGGCTCACAGCCCGGGCAACACCAAAGTCTGGGTCACCAGGGCCACAAGGAGCAAAGGAGCTCAAAACGTCAGGAAGGGTGGGGACAGTTGGAGTTGTCCACCATGCCCCCCTCACATCGTTCCCAGCCCTCTCGCCAGTCCAGGCTGGCTTCGCCACCCCGTTACTAAACTGGGGGCAGGGAAGGCTGTGGGCCCCCATCTTCCCTCAACCTGAGCCCCCATTCATGTCTCATCTGACCACGGCTGTCCTGGATGACCACTGCCCACAATGTGAGCACACAGGCTTCCTCCAGGAGATACTGAGCCTACCTGCAGAGGCAGAGGGTAGGATGAGCAGGTGGGGAGGGGTGCAGATGGCGGGCAGAAGCCCGTGTAGGCCAGGACCTGCTGGGCAGGGTTGCAGAGGATCTGGGGTGCAGCGGAGAGGCTGTAGGCCAGCTGGGACAGAGGGACCTGCCGAAAGAATGGAGAGAACGGACACGTGTCAGCGGCCCTCCGGAAGGCGGGCGCCCCTGGCTTCAAGCCTGCAGAGCCCCATCCACATACCATCCCCATCTGACACCTGCAAGTGAGAGACCATGCCCTCAGATCAAAACTAAACACCTAAAAGTAGGGCTTATTTTTCCTTTCTATTTGTCCCAGGGACCCACCAAGATGCCAGATGAGGCCAGGATCTCTTTGGTTTCTATTTGAAAAGGCAAGGAAAATGCTGGCTTCTCCTCTCCAGAGACCTCGTGTCCCAGGAGTGTCCGCCCAGCTGCAGTGGCAGGAGGGCTGACCCCCCACATGTGCTCCCCAGGCAGCACAGCACAGGGTTAGACCGCATGGTCGTGGGGATTTCCAAAGATGTGCAAATAACACCAGAGCGTCCCAGCCCCTCAGGGCCCTGCTCTTGTTAGCTCACCCAGATGGTTCCAACTCTCCAGAGGAAAACAGGACTTGGGCCATCCACCACCTGTGGCCCCAAGGGGGGGGCCATAGGACAGACCCCTCCCCAGAGGGAGGCTCGAGGGCTCCCGGACCTGAGGTGCATCCCTCCCACCAGGACAGACCTGGATTCCCATCTGACACCACGCTTCAGGCCCCATGCTTCAGGAAGGGGCCTCGGGAGCCGACAGCGTATCTGGAAACTCACCACCCCCACTGATGGGGAGCGGAGGTAGGTCCTGAGCAGTGGGAGTGCAGGGCACGAGCAGAGGGGAGGGAGCAGTGGAAGCAGAGAGGGCACCCAGGTCTGCCCGCACCTGCAGGTCCCTGGAGGTGGAGCTCCAAGGTCTGGCACCTGCCACCTCCCGGCCCCGCCCGCCCAGGCCGCCTCTGCACACTCTGAGGGGCGAATAAGGGTGCAGAAGGAAGACGGAAAACTCAGGGCTAGGTTCACGGGCCTGACCGCTCTGCTGCCACGTCCGTGAACAAACCCTACTGCGTGCCTACTGTGTGTGCCGGGTTGAGCTAAGGGCTGTCGGGGCAGACCAGAGCTGTGCAGCATGCCGAGGGGCACGCAGAGCATCACAGGACCCAGGCCTGGTATTTAAGGGGGGGGGGGGG